TCTTTTCAACGAATCACTTTATCTTACTTTCTTAACAATATTGTGGTGTTTCAACATAATCTAAGAATTACAATTAAATTTCTATGATAAATAAGTTTGTGAAACAAAATTAAGCAAATAAACGTATGAATTAAAAAAAAAACGAAAATAATTTAATCTCTGGAGAGCTCTGGAAATAAATCCTAGAATGTAATGGAGAAAATTTCCAAGGATATCCAAAGAGAATCTCAAAGTTAATCAAAGGAATTTTGAAAATAGCTTGAATGACGGAAATCTGCGATAATTCTAAAGATTTTGTTTTACTTGATTTGTTTTCCGTCGATCTCCGTTCTCCGGCTTTACTTGCCCCGAAGGAAGGCATGATCAAAAAAAATTATGCCTCAGAAAATCCCGAAGGTGCCACCCAGGCCCTTTAAAGTGAGAGACAGTCACGCTTACCACTACAGCACCGGTGCTGCTATACTTATAAGAATATTCAAGAAAGCTGGAAGAGCTTGAAACAGTTTAAACTAGAAAACATGAAATTTGATAAAAATAAATGTGTACACGTGTTTTGAATTGTTTGAACTATATTGCCCAGCAGATTTTCTGTGTATCTGTGAAAAACTCAAGAAACTAACAAGCCAACTAATAGCCCCCTACCTAATCGCCATTTTCGCAATATAAGGAACGGTATCTGAACTTTAAACTTGTAGCAACTAACTTGTAAATAGCAGCTTTCCATTGCAAATAGAGCAATAGTCGGATTTGTTGGTTACTTGGATTTGGTACTCTGAAAAGTGGGTCATTTAAGAATTTATGGCCATAACTTGACGTACCAGAAAAAAATTGTGATCGTTAAAAGTACAAAATAAATTATTTCTGCATTATGCTCATAGGAGAAGCGTTATATAGCATGCAAGCTTACATTATCAATATTGTAATGTTATTAGATATGTCATAAAATATTTAAATTTTATTAAACCATTGATGTTGGTAAGTAACGTTTCGTGCAATTTCATAGTTTAAGTGAATAAAAATACAATTTGTCAAAGTTTAATGATTTTATCACCTATAACAATCGACGTCTGTGTTTGAAGGAGATACCTGCGATAGGTCGAAGAAAGTCTACGAGGAGGCCCGTTGCTGTTGGTGTAGCTCCACTTGGTTATTTTGGTGAGATCATTCCTTTTTATTTATTTATACAGCTACCCCTCTCTATCGTTAGGACATCAATTCAGCTTATCGTTTACCAAAACGAACCCTGCTGCAAACCCTACCCTCTTACCCAACATCCCAGTGATTCCTCGTGGAAGTGCAGATAATTTCTCGGCTTCCATCAACGCGAGCGTCACGTCATGTTCATACCCATTCCTTTTTTGACCTGCGTCCAGGCGCTGCCGGCTCTGGTATTGCCTAGTTTGAGATCACCAGTTTTTACACATTGAGGATGATTGCTAGTCCCAAGCATCGTCTATTGATTCTATGTGTAATTACAGCTGATCTGGCAATAACAGAGTAGCAACCGTGAGCGGTCAATCATGCTCATGCATGCTCATGCTCATGTAATAATCACATGTTTTAGTATAATTGCATTAAATGACGTATAAAGAGGAGCTTACCACCCTGAAAAAAAACCTGAGTTTCCTAAAAATATTAAAGAAAGAAATTGTTTGTACAAAACGTGTGCAACTACCCTACCCAAATACTCATATCAACACACAAGTGCCGCAAGCGTAGTGTTATCATGCCTATCGTTCTATTGTAAAGATTGTAAATAAATTCAATAGTTCGCATGCCTCTGCCATGGCAGGATGGCCCGATAAACGACCGTGTTTTATTTTCGCCATCTATTCACACAACGTAGGGAAGTTCTGCCCGTGTGCGATCAGAAATCTAATAGGGGAAATGACGGCTTCGGCATGACAGACTATTTTCGGCAACCCAAATTGAAACACTATTTTCACTGGATTTTCTTACGAAAACACTTCGCTGAATGCATGCAAACGATTCTTTATGCTTTCAGCTTCAATTTGACTATATTTTTACAACTGAGAAAAAGCAATCTAGCAAGGTTTTCTTGAAATGCAACACACGCACTACAAATTGTAGCTGATTTCGAGTTGCCGATAATAGAACAGCAGATTTACATGCAGTTCAAATGGAACGGTTGCCGAAGAAAAACTGGTTGCCGACAATACTCGCTCTCACTAGAGAAGATTGGAGCTTTGTAAAAGCGTTTCAAAACAGTTTTTGACAATTCTTTCGACTGAAATTGTTAGAGCAGCTGGCAGCAAAAGATTGTAAACAAACCAATACTGCATATGTGTGCGTTCCTTAGAAAAAGAGGCTATAGAAAGAAGGTCGCTGCTTAGGTTGCCGAGAATACGTAAATTTCCCTATCTAAAAAAAATCCGAATTTTTCACCAATTCTAATCACGAATTCAGCGTTAAAACTTTTTTTGCACTCTTTGTGACACTTTTCGGTAATGTTTTAAATAAAATAATGGCTTACATTTCCTAACTAAAGCAACAATGTCTACACGTACATACTACTTTTCAGCACCCAGACCCGAAAAGTTCTACTTTTCGACACTCTTTTGAACACAAAAAATGTTGTATGCAAATCGTTGCATAATTTGATTTTTGGCATGCCTCGATGGATAAACTATGACTCGTGCTGAATAAATCTTCTTTCTGCTACTTGTTGCATAAATAGCTATTTGATGTCATTATGGCAAAAAGTAGGTTACAATAAATCGAAAAACTAGACTTTTCGGTTTTTTGAAGAGTTCAACTTTTTTTTTTATTCGTGATGAGATAGAAAAAATGTGTTCATTATCGAAGTCATTGCTTGATTTTGTTGCCAAGTAATCCGATTTTGACTGTAAAGGGGTGCACCTTTGGAGGGTGCTCTAACTCTTCCAGGGTATGAATGACACGGTCAACTGAAACTGAAAGCATCCTTAGCCTACAGTACCGGATGAAAGTATTTATCATCGAGATTTTTTTTCATCAATATTTCTGACTTCTTGGCTGCTGGTTGATTAGTTATTCAAGAACTATCGGTTTAGCTTTGAGCTTGGTTGACTGAGCCTGTATTCAAAGGTGTGCAGTTGTAGTGAAACGCCTCTTTAATCGGTACGCTTTTTCATTGGATAATGAAAATAATTGAATTATGTCCTTAACTTATATTCCTGAAGACGGATTAAAGGATTTTCACGGACAGATTCATGGACTAGTTAGTTATTATTTAATTTGGATTATGACATTCTTCTGGCATTCTCAATCAACTATTCAGCAGGCAACATTGGTGTGCTTAGAGCAAAGAATAAGGAAAATAAATCCAGGCTACTATGTTATATTCAAACTCAACCTAAAGAAGCTTTTTTGAGAATCATCTTAAGAAGCTGATTCTTGAAGCTTATTTTAGAATCTTCTTAAGAAGATTCATTTAAAGTTATTGTTGAAAAAATGCACATAAACACAGATAGCAAGCTAACCTATTAATAATTAGAACGAAAGGCTAGGACGTTGGGAATAAAAAGATAGCTTTACCCATTGTTATTCCCATAAAAACTACAAAGAGCCATAAATGACCTCAAATTTTGAGAGAACAAAAAATGATATCATGAATAACCCTTATGAGCATATTCTAGACTAAACCCTTCACTGCCGAAGCCTGGGCGGGTTTAATTTGACGAGTTGTGACAACAAAAATCAAATTGTTTAACAAATGTTGAGTCACTTGTTGTAAAGATACACTATATTGGGGAAATGGATGTAATGTCGGCCTAAATGTCCCTAATTTGGGCCCATACATGAATTCAGCAATCGACTAAATTTTCAATAGCGACCAAAAATATCCAATGACGCGTTCATCTACAAAAAAAAATTGATAAATAGATGATTTTTAGCGATTGGCCCAATCTTAGAACCATAGGCCAACATTAGGGCCATTTCCCCTACCTACAATTTACAGTAACATTTGGAACAAACTGGTTATAAAAACATTATGTGAAGCCATAATATAAAAAAATATGTTCTAAGAATATCAGTAAAAAAAATTCATTGAAAAAAAGTTCTTAACTTCAAAAATAAAATGCTATCGTACAAACTTATTGAATTTTCTCATCAGTACTACCTGGTGGGTAGTTTGGTTAAATTTGGTACAATCATTCGTGAGAAAATTATCGACAAACAAAATCGAACTAGATAAAAACGATTTTCATTATTTTCATATTTCTTTCATTTCAATGGAAGCATTGGACTGTAGATGGTTAAACTAGATTAACAGAGATAAAGACAGGTAAGCTATAATTTTGTTAACCCTAAGCCAAAACAAAAAAAAAAAACGCAGATTGTCACACAATGTTATTTATAAATTAAAGTTTAAAGAGTTTTGGATTAACTCGCAGTTCATAAGTGTTTATAGACTTGGAGTTTTCAAATGTTTTAGAAAACAATGAATATCTGAACCCGTTTTCTACGCTCTTATCGATTAGTTTGAGAACCTTTCCAATTAATATACTGATGATGGATCTGAATACAAATGTTTACGACGCATTTTGTTTTGTTTTCGCATCGCACCGTTCAGTATTGCTCAAGAGGTAAGTGTTAGTTCGAGTGATTGTACATGTAGCTAAATCACTTTTACCTGTGTAGGAACCTTGAGAATGGTGTTGAAAACGACGGTAAAAAAATAATTCTGCGAACGGTTAATCCAATGAGCGATCATCAACAAACACAAAGCACCACACAACTCCTCTACACAGCAACTAATTGACAAATGTATTACGGAGATGAAATTGACGTAGCAAAAGCCGGTTTAACGAGTTCTACAGGTGATGTGATGAAGTAATCAAAGATAATTATTGAGAATTTTAAGCCATGACTTTAATGTTACAGTTCGACAGGACAAAATGAAACAATCACTTGGTACAGAAAGCGTTAAACAACATAAAAATACTAGGCCACTCAACGAAACACAAGGCAGTTACTAAATAGCTAAAAATATTTACAGGATTCCAATGACACCGCAGGCAAGACGTCCACCAGCGTTTCCAGTCTTGAGAGAATCAGGGTGGTTGGTTTTTCCAAAATCATCAACTCCAGCATGAACCACAAAGGCACGACCGAGAACGCTGTAAGATCCGTACAGCGATACGACCGTGTCGGAGAACGACGTCTTTGCAATTCCATTCTCATCGGCTACAACATTTCCGAGATCACCAACGTGACGCACTTGATCGTTCGGACCACCATGTGTTACCTAATACAGGGAAAACAAAAGAATGATGTACTCGGCAATGCATTTTTACTGTGACTCTTATCAACCTTATCTGGATTGTAATGACCACCCGTGCTGGTGCATCCGTCGCTCAAATCACCCTTCTCGTGAATGTGGAAACCGTGCTTTCCGGGGGTCAGTCCGATGATATTCACTTCGATAAAGACTGGTTCGGTGCATGATGGTTGCGATAAAGTTACATTACCAGATACACCGGAAGTACCTTGCATAAAAACGACCGCTTTTTTGGATTGCTCCTGTGGATGAAAATCAACATTATTTACACAATACTTGGACTTGTACTTGGACTTTTTCATAGAGCACAAATAGCACTGATGAGGTCAGTCAACTCTTACTCAAGCCTAAAGCAAGATTTCAAATGTTATTTTTCGGAATTATGGAACCATTAGATATTATGACGGTATATGTTGTACGTGTGAATAACAAGAAGAGGCTGTAAAATATGTGTTTTATAAATAAACTTATCAATTTTGCCTTCAGAGAGTCACAACAAGCGATTTTATCATTTACACACACTTACTTACTGGATCATAAAATGGGATGGAGGGCCTTCCTTAGCTAAAAGCAATACCATCCTGGCGATTCCAGCCCAAGTAAGTATTTGGGTTTTACGAGGGTTCTGTAGACCATACAATACCGTAAGACGGGGTGACGTTGGGCCAATTGTACTTGCTAAACAATTATAATAATGCAAAAATGGTACAGGATTAAACAGCTCTCAATTAACATCATTGCTGAGATCCATGGACTACGTCCGGCCCTCGGGTGAAGTTTCGTTAAAAAAAAGAGGACAATGTCCATATAATTAGCATAGGAGAACAATGAGTCAGCAAAATAGTGGCAAACATCGAAAATGTCACACTTTTCTTAATTTATTAAATCTAGTGCCCACACAAAAAACAAATCTGAATTTTAACTGTCGCGTAACATCTCCCTCCGTTTCATTTTGAGCTATACTTGGCATAAGCAGCGAAATCGTTTACAAGCTTGCATACAATATTGCTAATTTTGCGATATTGCGCTTAAATTTACACGAAATATCGCGTAAATGTATGCCAAATCTAGCGTTAATTTTATGTGCGCTATATCTCGCAGAAATTGACAATGTCATGAATTTTTCGAACGGTGCAGTTTCTAAACAAAAGGGGATATTTTTTTTTAATCTCAATAATTTCTTCAGGTCTGGAATTTTTAATTTAGGTTTTACTCGGGATATCCATTTTTGTCTAATAAGGATGTTTGTATTGCAGTTCACTTTAAAATTGGAATCATCAAATTCAGATTCCCTTCCAATCATGTGGAATTCCTGTCAGGATGCTTTTAGTGTTTTGTAAGATTCTTTTAATTTTATGTCTGACATCAGTCCAATAGGTCGAGCGGGGCAATTAATAGTTAAAAATATGTATCATCCTTATGATCAGAATTATTTTCAGAACTGTCCTTGAAATTTCAATCATAAAGTAGCTCTTACATTTAATTCTACTGATCACTACTACTACTACTACTACTACTAAGTACCAGCTGAATTTTTTTCAAGATCCCAGAGTAAAGAATGGATGTATGCTGTCAAAAAATTTATATTCATTATAATCCCTTTGAAATTATTTTCAGATTAGGATTCCCTTAGAATTCTCATCACAATTCTGTTCATTGAGTATGCCAGAATTATTTTGGAACGAAAACAATAAAGTGCTCCTTGAACTTTAGAAAAATGCTCTCAGATTTACTGTCCTGTCTTTTTTTTTTTTTAGTCAGACGGGAAAGCATCTATTTTTTTCTTCGATTTGTTTTCCGTGCTGAGCACCAATGCTAACGACGCCACAAATGATTTTTTTTTTCAAGAAAATGTAAAATTAATGATCAACAGTTTAAGAATTATGTCACAAGATGCAATAATAGAAAAAATGCTTTGTAATATTTCTGCTTTTTCCGTGCTTGCGAAAAGTGTGCTTCCAATGATCATATTGAAGACAAGGTTGCAAATACTCATTTAAGCTAAAACAATGTTTTTTTTTTTTTAATTATGAAATAATTAGATGCCATATTGATCATTATTTTGAATTGGTAAGATACAAGAAGAGGTTGCAAAGAATCTGTTTATTTCACTTCATGAGAGTCACAATCAGCGATTTTTCACACACTCACTCACTCACTCACTCACTCACTCACTCACTCAGCGATCAGCAAATCGCTGATTGTGACTCATAGAAAGCAAAATTTACAGGTTTTATGTTTCAAACGCATACTGTGTAACCTTTTCTTGTAAGTTACAAGTAAAACATGTCATCATACCATCTTTTGGTTTTATTATTCTGAAAAACATTATTTTAGCTGAAATGAGTATTTGCAACCTTGATTGAAGAGGAACTTACTTTGAAATTAGAATCAAATGACATACAAGATGTTGTGTTTCAACAGTGGCTGAATACTAATCGTTGTAATTTGGAAACGATTATCAAGCCTGTTGATGAATTTGTTCCGACAATAAACTTGAAAATGTTAGCTTCATTATCATATCAGAAGTAATGACTCACGATACAGTTGCAGTTCAGTTGTTCATCTAAAAAATGATAGATTTTATTAAACAATCGATAGATTTTTCTAAAATTACTTTTATGTCAGATGGGGCAGCATCACAATACAAAAATAAAAAAAACTTTGCTAGTCTGTGTAGATTTCAGTCAAAGCATGGATTAGAAGCAGAATGGCATTTTTTTGCAACGTCTCATGGAAAAGGTCCCTGTGATGCCATTGCTGGCACTCTCAAGCGAATGGCAAAGAGAGCTAGTCTTGCTCGAGATTATGGAAACACCAACTCCACGAAAATTATATAACTGGGCAGTTGAACAAACAGATAAAAATATCACAAAACTACGTTTCGAGTTACATATCCACTGTACATCGAAATGTCAGAAGAACTCGAAGAACTATATAACAGCACAAAGACAATATCTGGCACACAGAAATTCCACAGTTTTGTGCCTATAACTGGTGACAAAGTAGTGGCAAAAAGGTATTCTAATTCAGAAGATGAACCAAAAATATTTAACTTGATTGGAAAAACGAATAAAATAGCATGTATGAAAATAGGTTTAAAACATTGAAAATGTATAAATAAATGATATATGAAAAATCTTGTCTTTTTTTTCTCACATATTATCAAACTTTGCATCAGTAGTAGACAACAGAATAAGGGAATGATATTTTTTTTTGACAAGGTCTACATCTCCAAATAGTTTTATTGAACTCTGAAGGGTGCTGCCAATTCCAAATAGGATTTGGTGAGAAATGCATCACGAGCCCTTTTCATATGAAATTCTCGATTAATCAAAGTGAACTTAAGTGCTGATTAGACTGGATTCTGAGATGATTTTGAGCTTCACTGGTTTAGTTTTGTGTGAAAATGGCAAATCAAAAAAAAATCAGTTCAGACATGAAAAATTTTTGCAAGAAAAACATTTTTCCTTAAAAGTGCCCATCTCGCAATGTAAGGATGGTTGGTAGTAAACATAATTACCTATCTTGCGGCAAAGTTTCATCCAAATCAAACATGGCCATTTTTTTAAATCGACTTTAAATTTTTTTAAATCGATTTGTTTCAGTGTAGGTCTCAAATGAAATTTTTTCCAGTATTTTTTTTTCGATAACTTGAACAATTTCCTAAAAGTCATCCTTACAACACATTTTTGTAGGAGTTGTTATTTTTCCATAATATTTTTTTGAAAAAAATCAACAGAAAAAGTTTTTCCCTTCTCAAATGTTAGTCTAGATAAATTTTGGAAAAACTAAGTATGCATATTGGGAAAAACTAAGTATGCAAGTGGTATATTTAGTCAAGGTTCACACATCCAGAAAGTTTCATTGAAATCTGAGAGGGTGCTGCCAGCTCCGAATACGATTTGGCGCGAAATGCGTGTTTTCTAATTCGCATGAAACTTTCTAAAACTGGGCATTTGGATTTATTTTATTATTTATAAAGTAACGTCTGATCGATTGGTCTAGAACTTTGGGCTTAAAACAAAAAAGATTTAAAAAAGATAAAAAAAAAAAACAAAAAAAAAATCGGATGCTTGCTACATGTCGATCATCTATTGTTTTAATGTGCCATATGCTTTATATTTTCATTATAGTCATAATTCAATTATTAATCATTTCAACGAAAACTTCATCCACTAAAACTGATGGTACAATTATTCTTTGTTGTTCTGTTAATGTCATATATTCGTTATTAAGTGACATATGGTGCTACACCAATCTCTCGCAAATTAAATTTGAATCGCATGAAATCATCACACTAAAAGTCCATTTATGACGCTACACTCTCATTATTCTACAATAAAAAATTTGAGCTACCGTCGGAAATCACACTTTGGTTTCGGAACCACATCGTTTTGTTTACAGAGCTCCAATTGAAGTAAATTGCTCTGACAATACTCTCACACTGGCACTGCAGCTTTATCATTCCCTCTGGCTATAGATACACTTTTTTTTATCAGTTAACAGCATATCGTTTGTGACCCCAGGCACCATTGTGAAATATGAATACTTTTCAATCGAAATTAAACCATAATTAAGCTTACAGCTTTTGCTAAGGCAAAACAGCCCACAAACGCCAAAACGATTAGCACCTTCATGTTTCTAGTTTGAACACTTAGATTTTTAACTAAAAAACTATAGAATAGAATTGAAGTACACAACTGAACACGACAAAGTCTGAAATACGAATGATTTAAGCTGCCGAGCCCCGAACGAGTGCACATTCAATTTAAACCGCTCCAAACGATCTCTTGATCTCTCTCAGCCACTGATACAAACCAGTATCCAATCGGGTGGTTATAACATTTGTGGGATTAAGTTATTGCGAGAATCGGTTATTCCAGTGCGGTGGAAAATGCAAACGATCAGAATCAGATGAGAGACTTTGTCATGTGTCGAAAACCCAGATGCACGTCTGAGATATGAGGTGCTCTTTGGAGAGAATTGAGTTTGTTGTCTGCTATCTTGTCTGGACTGGTTTTATTACCCCTTTCAGGTACAGGTATAGCAGCTAAGATAGAATTGCCGTCGGCACGTACCCGGCTGTAGTTCACTGTAGACTCTCGACTGTCGATATTAAAAATGAAAATTGTTTTACAAGCCGTTTGTCGAGACAACCCGAAGAAACAGTGTATATAATAATACATGAATATTGAAAAGGCTTCGAGTGCTATCTTTAGACTCGTGAATGAAGTACTAAATGCGTTGCATTCTTTGTATTGAAGCTGTACGCTTGGATCGTTGCCGTCTCTGTACCACGTGAGTTCCTGTAGAACAAGGTCAAGGACAGCAAGCGTACGAAGTATGTATGGATAAAAGGAATAATCCGCAAACTGGAACGAAAACTATGAACCTCCAGCAGAAAATAAAACGCAGAAGATCAGGAGACATGCATTCTGTTTTTATTTGAAGCAGTCTGCAGTCAGCAGAAGCCCGTCTGAGTAGTCTAGTTTAAAGCCGATAAAACATATACAGTCAAGATTCCTATATGTAGTAAAGTTAGGAACCGATATTAACAAATACACGTAGCATATGGGAGAGCAAATTGGGGACAAACACTTATTGTAGGGTAATTTGAAGAGATAACTTCCTGGTGTCTTCTGAAAAGTTATTAACAAGATAGATGACTTCCTTTTGGGACAATTTTGCATCCAGAAAGTCGGAGTTTTGACTGGAATTTCGACTCTGGGGACTACAGATCCTAGAACTACGTGGTTTTTTCAAAACCACTTATAGACGTTTTATCATAATTAATTCGGAGTTGTGACCGGAAAATGAACCCTGGGGACCTCGGGGTGGTTCACCGGAAGATGCGGAACATCCGTAAAAGTGGTCAATTCATAAAACTGATCTTAGAGCGCCGTGGTTTTTTTTTTCAAAACCACTCAGAGACATAGTTGAAGATGCTAATTTCAAATAACAGACTACGGAGAGTACGCTAAACGGGACTATCAATTCAATACTTTCATCTCCTCATCTATCGTATAAAAATTACCACCAGTCTATTATTTGAAATTAGCATCTTCACCTGTGTAAATCGTTGACTTCACGCCGAAGTAATACTAAACATATAGTCAAAGCACTCATAGACGTCTATTACTATTAATTCGGAGATAGGACCGAAATTTGCACGGAGATGAAAAACTACCCAAAACTAAGTACTGGCCCCTCAATTCCCGGGTTCAGCCCAATAACCCAAATTTGAGTAAATTGCATAAAGAAGTTTAAAAAAAAAACTTATTCTTAAGTATATTCTACCCAAAATTAAGATTAATTCACCTAAATTTGAGAATATGCAATTTACTCGAAAGTAACTTATTGAGCTGAACTCTATCGTTGGGTCGAGTCTCTCGTTCCTTTTTTGACAACAATAACAAGCGAAAGTGAAAGGTTGGACTTAAAATTAAGTAAAAAGAACTCAAAACTTGGGCAGTATTTTTTCTCCGTGTGGATTTTAGTGACAACAGAATGGTCCAGTAAAAGATACGGAACACCCGTAAATGAAGCTGATCCTGTATCTCCGTAGTTTTTTTCTAAACCACTCATAGACGTCTTATTACAATTAATTCCGTGCTTTGATTGAAATTTGGACTCTGGGGATTATGGGATGGTCCACTCTCGGGTCCACTAAAAGATCCGGAACAACCGTAAAAGTGGTCAATTCATGAAACTGATCCTAGAGCTCCGTGTTTTTTTTTTTCGAAACCGCTCATAGACGTCTTATTCCAAGCACTAGACGCAAAACTCTTCCCAGATGACCATGGCAATGGAAGAACATTTTTTTCGTTGAAGGAAGTATTACAACAAAGGTAATTGCTATTAGATATTTTTGCAAACAGTGACAGATAGCAGACATGAAGCTCAAGTGGAGGCGTCGGGCAAAGGTGTTATATCCCATTTATATGATTCTTTGTGCAAATTTCGCTCTGGTCAATCACGGAGTAGCTACTACCGAAATGTATGGTCAATGCTCATGCTCATGCTCATGATCATAATTGATACGAAGAGTTTGAAATGCACGAAAAGATAGCAATCCAACTATAATTTCGATTATCGGACTTTTTACTTTATATAAATGGGTATTAGGGTTACTTCTATTAGGGCACTTTTTCTTCTTCTTATTCGCATTTCAAGCTTATTGCATACGTATATAAGCTTATTTCGTGCTCTCAACTTAGTGTTCTAGATACACTTCCACAGTTATTAATTGAGAGCTTTCGATGCCTGTACCATTTTTGCATTGGTATAATTGTGTGGCAAGTCCAATCATACTTCTATGCCCAGGGAAGTCGAGAAATTTTCCAACCCGAAATTTTCCTAGACCGGACCGGGAATTGAACCCAGCCACCTCGAGCATGGTCTTGCTTTGTAGCTGCGCCTTTACCGACTGACCTAAGGGAGGCCCCGCACTTAGTCTTTCTTAATCTAGCGTAGTTTAGCACCAAACGGAATGTTATCAATACAGATGGCTTTCAAATCTATTAACCTTTCCGTACGTACCGTAAGATTTGATAAAGAGAAACAAATTGTTGAGATATTGTTAAAAGTCTAACACTGCTTCTTGACGCCAAACTTGGCCTACGGATTCTAAACTCGGCCTAACGTATTGAAACACCATTGAAACGCCAATGAATTCACTTCGGCCTATCGGATGAAGATAAAGATTGATTCGGTAGGAACGCTTTATTTTTATTTGAGAATATTGGGTGCAAACATTCATATCTTATTGACTTCGTTCGGTAGCATTTGAACTAAAGTATCGTACGAAACGCATAATTTACCTTTTAACGTCGAAATCATGGATTTATTTGATGTTTTCTGCATGATAGGCCCAAAATAGGCGAATAGGAAGTAGTTCTCTACCCTAAGTAGGATTTTTTACATTCTTTCGGAAATATACCAGATTCAAGTGACATGTAGTTGTGAGTTTAGTTGCTACGTTTTTCATAAAAATAGGTGGGATTCCATTTGGTCCTTAACCTTTAGTAGCGTCCAAATCTCGTAGGCCATTACAAATATCATGAACGCAAATGTTATTAGCACCAACAGTAGTTGAAAAGTCAGGAAAATAAGAAAAATATTCATAATCACGATCATTATCTGAAAATTTCGTGTATGCTTTTTGAAAAAAAGTGGCAAAAAGATTACATATATCATCAGAATCATTACCTTCCTTTTCATCTAATCTAATTTTTGATGGAAAGCTGCACGATTTCATTTTTGTTTTGACGTAATTGAAGAAGTTTCTTGGACATGATTTAATTTCATTCTAAGTTTTTATGTTATACTCAGACAGTACCCAAGAAACCGCATCATTAAGTTAATCACAAATACTTAGATACTTTTCAAGATTATCTCGATTTTTATGTTATCTGTTTATTTTGTGAGCTTTGTGATTACGATTGTTCAAGTTAATGATATGATTATTTAACCAAATCGGATTTTTGGAGGAATAATTGTATCGCCTTCTTTTTAATGGGATTTCCTCGTAAATTACGCCAAACCAAATTTTATAAAAAACGTCCACTGCTCATTCTACATTTACCTGATCCTTCAAAATGGTTTGCCAATTGACTCCATTGATTTTATTTTTAATAGTATCATAATTAGCATTCTTGTAATCGAACACATTTTCATGCTCAAAGTCATTAGGGTGTTGATTGTCATGCACAAATATGGAATACTCGATTGCTTTGTAAAATGCTTCATTCTTCCATAAAGGAGCAATAGATTTACTTACACAGAAATTTTCATGTATATTCGTTAACAAGACATCTAGGAAACAAAACCGTGGAGCTCTAGGATCAGTTTCACTAATTTACCACTTCTACGGGTGTTCCGGATCATCCGGTGGACAATCCCGTAGTCTCAAGAGTCCATATTCCGAACACAACTCCGAATTCATTCTGATAAGATGTCTATGCGTGTTTGCTACAAAACCGCGTAGCTCTAGGATACACGGGAAAAAAAGAGTTCCCATATTCGTGAACCACAGCCGTGAACCATAGTTCACGGTGTATATTTGAGAAAATTTTGTTCTGGATAGCTGGCCGTGATTTTTAGTTCACGGTCCGAACGGATTTTTTTCCGAGTAAGTTTCATGAATTGACTACTTTTCCGGATGTTCCGGATCTTCGAGTGGACCATCCAGCGTCCATTTGCTGGTCATTCCTCCGAATGTATTGTGATAAAACGTCTTGGTTGTTAATATTAAATATATTCAAAGGCTGACTAAAAGTAAATTGGTACGCTCCTTGCGCTCCGCTAGCACGCCTATAGTGTTGAGAATCGAAAATCTTTGACAGTAGTTTGTTAACACTTCTATGGAGGACAACTGTGCAAGTTTGATCAAAGTAGTCGATCACGTTCAGAAATAATGTGAAATGGAACTCGAAACTATTGTGCACAAACACCTGGAAAATCTGGAGTGATCTGGTTCCAAGCTGGCTAAAGTGCTGAAGATACCGAAAACAACAGTTTGTCGAGTGCTCAAAACCTACAAGGTGGAAAGGAATCAGCGGACCTACGAAAAAACAGGAACCAGGTATCGTCAGCTGCGCAGCAAGGTGTTGAGGTGCATTAAAGCCAACCCCGGTCTTTCGATCCGAGATGTGGCCAGAAGGTACAACGCCAACTTTCAAATGGTGCGGAACATCCTTGCCAGGGAAGGATACAAGTCGTACAAAACCAGTAAATATCCGAACAGGCACATGAAGCAGAATTCCGTGGATAAAAAAGCGTGCAAAGCTCTTGTACGACCGTGTTTTGACGAAAGACAAGGGCTGCACTTTGATCGATGACGAAACATATGTCAAGCTCGATTTTA